AAATAATTGACCCGCGATCAAAAAAGGTTGCCAACCACTGGTGTAGTGGTTCTCAAAATGTGGTTCGTGCACCACTGGTGGTCCGTCTGCTGGTCCAAAATGCAAGTCACATCAAAAGCAGCGTCATTCTTCCGATTAAATATAAGTTTTTTGCAGCGGCAAGCGAAACCGGGTGGGTTAGGGCTGGTAGATGTTCAGGGGGTCTTTTAACCCCCGAAATGGTCTGATGACGAAAAAGATTTAGAACCACTCACTAGCTTGGTGAAATGGATTAAAATTTTACAATGAACTTGGTAAATGGCAATAAAAAGAGTCGAAAAAGTCGTGCAAATTGGTTATTAATTTATTTGCCCTTGATTGCCATCATATCTTGGCCCACTCTGCATCATGATAGGCTCAAATTCCCACCTTAAAGGTAAGAAAATAAAATAAAAAATCAGGTGAGGCATGCACCTGAACTACTAAATTTTTCCCCTGCCGCAAAGTTTGATTCACTCCCATTTTTACCCATTGTGTAGTTTTGTCCTTAACACACAAACTTTCAAGATTATTTTAAAACAAGTAATCTTTGACTAATTTTGGTATTATAGTAATACTTTCCTGTGATAGACTTCCAAGACGAATGCAGTTATTACTGGAACGTTTTGAAGCATGCTTGCAAAGTGATTTCGAGAATATTACCATAACTAATACTTCTCATATAATTACCTCCTATAGTCCAAATTGCTTTCATTAACAATTTTATTTTCCCTTACACACTTCTCTCTTTTTTAAACTGTGATTTATTTAAATCATGAATTGATATTTTTATTGCTTCGGGGTAAATAAAAATTACTCGAGAAGCCATGCACATTTTGAAAATATATTATATGACCCTGTATTTATTATTTTTGAGTGTTAACGAAAATAAATTTCAACTTGTCCTTACGCAATGTTTCACTCACTTCCAGCTTAACCTTGTTGAGAATATTTGAAATAGAAATGTTAGATAATTCCCTCTCATTTTTGGACATTAATACTTCTTGATTACTAACGTGAAAAGACAAACTTGAGCTTACCTTAAGGAATTTACAGAAAGATTGGCTATCACAGTTCGAATATTCCACAGCACCTTTTTCGACGCGTGAGATATATAGAACTTAAAAGAGTACTTTCGCGTTTAAAGATTTATCCCCCAAGTATTCCACAAACTCGATTTATTTGACGCTTTTTCAGACCCCCTGTACATCGGCTAGCAGAAGTTCTAGTTAGAATCGGCATGCTCTCCTCGCGCTCCGAACTAACCATAAGCTGACTGTAGAATAAATTGACCACACTTTCAACAGTCTGCGATTCTTAAAGGGCAACCTTTGGTATTTACGTTTATAGCATTCGAAAAGTTCAGAATAACATGACTGCGCCCCCACGAATTTATGGTCGAGTCTATTCCACTATAGGTGGTGAAGTTGATTTTTTTCCGATTGTGTTTGCTTAGATTATTTACATATTTTCACACAGCAGCACAGATTATAAATAAATCAATAAATTGCCATCGCTCAGTGATTTATTTCCTAAGACATTATTACTTCTCTACAGCACATGTATTACATGAACTCATTAAATAAGTCATTAAGTTTGAATTTGTCTGCAATGTAATATCGTCAGCACGGTAGTTTAACTAAATATATATATATACTAAGATACAGTAAATTATTAAATACGTGGTTCATAGCATCTCATATCACAGAAACGTTTGAGCATTTACAGTAATATATTCTATTAAATAACCTCGTTTTCTGTTAACGTGTTTTAGTTAATATCCGAAATTCGAGTACTTGTTATCCCTATTTCTGGCATTGTAAAACGATTACTGGATATGTGCTCCGTGTATGTGTGTGTGTATATATATGTGTGTGTGTGTGTTGTACTTACTCTTTGTTACGAGTTAGTTTCATTCAAAGACAAACATTTTGTAACGTAACAAAAATAAATATGAAATTGAAGGTAGATTTGGTTCTTAAGAAAAGGTCATTTGATGAACGAATTACACTCACGTTCCCAAACTCTAAGATTTTGACCTATGACCTATTGTTCAGTAAAACAGGAAGGTATTTTAATTTCTAGTAAAATTTAAAATAATTTTTACACTATTGCGAACACAACGAATAGAATGCATCTTTGAAGCACTAGGAAGCAGTTTTGCTGTAACAAAAGAAAAAGCAAACTAAATATTATAAAATTAGTAGCATTGCAAAGCGTATGAAAACTTAAGTTGGATCAGAGACTAAAAGACATTTAACAAAATAATCGGAAAGAAGCATGTTTACACGTAGTTTAATAGTAATCACTTTGGAACATGACCTTTTGTTACAGGGTAAGGTATCACGTTGTTGTCGTTCAAAATTTAAATGAGTATCTCCTCCAAAGCTGTTTTTTCTGTCTTACAAGTGTGTTTCACCAGCAAGCATCATATTTCACTCTTAATTTGTGACCTCAATTTTTCAGATATGAAAATAGGTTTACATGAAAATGTTATGTCTATATATTCAAGAATTAAAATTTATTACTAGAAAAGTATATTACGGAGGTAATTGCCCCCACCCCCCCTTCCCCACTGGCTCAGCAGTAAGCCTGAGGTCTTCTTCCATGCATTTACTATAAAGTTAACGTGACTTCCCAATTTCTTTTATGTTCTAAATTCTTAACAATGTTTTAAGGCACAAGTAATTATAACCTTCATTTTAGTATGGCTACATTTAGTACGTTGCTATCATCGTTGATATCTTCAACTTGAACAGGATGCAACAAATATTTTGTAAATAAAGCCACTCCTCCCCCTCTTTTTCAGTACTCTATCCCTATTAACTAACCTTATAACCCTGTATTTCAAAGAAATTTCTGTCATCAAAATTGTCTGCATTGAACCAAGTTTCAGTTATTCTCATTATACCAAAATTATGTTTCAACTAGTGCTCTAAGGTCTCATATTTTATTTCTTATACATCTAGCATTACAATAATAACAGTTTATCTACCCTTTCTTTACTTTGTTCCTACACTATACTTTTCTCTATATTTTTTCTTCCTTTAGTTTATACCGTCCTTACCACTGTAGTCCTAGCTTAAAGTTGCCACACTCTTTTTCCCATTGAACTGATCCCATAAAGCTAACCTACTCTTTCTTTGATATTAACCTAAGCCTAGTATTCAGTCCTAGTTACTTACTTATAATTTCATCTCCACAGTTAAATCTTGCATTATCTCTGACAGAAGTAAGTTATTATGGCTCTTTTCTTTAAATGTCTTTATCAATCCCTTGTACTTATGAATTAACTTCTCTTACCTACCCTTCTCTCAATATTAGTCTTTTATGTACACAATAAAGATTGCATCACTGCTAGCACCTTTTAATATACCACTTGTTTTGTTAGTTACATCTTCCACCCCTGCCCCTGGATAGTGTAACCTTAATTGTTTTTTCCTGTTTACCCCACAGTCTGTCCTATTTACATGTCATACCAAAGAATCAACTATAAATATAACTTCTTTAAGTTCTTCATTCTCATCCTTCTTTGTCTCTTTTGTTTTCCTTCCATTCCATAATTTCTCATTAGTACAAGCTAAAGGCTGACATCTGTAAATATTGATGTACTTGTGAGTATTCCTGAAACTATGACAGAGATTGCATACATCATTGCATTTTGATACCAGGTTTTCACATAATTTAGCTCAAAGTCCATATTAAAAAAAAAGTGTATGAAACTTTAAAATAATGATAAAGTAACTCAATCGGTCAATAGGCTGAATTAAATCAGTTTCTGAGAAAATCAATGACTCCTGAGACTTTCATTAATCTACACTATGCAAAGTAGTTGGTGGGACAGATACTTTCCAAAGTGCTTCCAAGTCTGGAAAGATAGGAACACCATTTTGTCTTCATATTTGATTACTGTTACCACATAACAATTCCATCTGCTGAAAGCGGGTAACTGTTTCTTATGACAGTACAGAGTGCCAGAGCTGTTTACACTATGGACTATACGACAGCAACTAGAGTAATTACCAATAAGGAGTAGAATGATTTCAGCTTAAAACTAAGAAGAGATACTTCGCCCCTACAGTTTGTCAAACAGCAATATAAAGTTTGTTTGGATACACCTATCAAGATCATAACTTCTACTGTCTGTTTTCTTGAAAGATTAGTCTAGACTTCACTTCTATACCAGTGTTTGATGTCTGCAGGAGAGATGAGCAAAATGCTCATACATTATTGCATGTAACCACTGCTTTCAGACAGGTGAGCAATTATAAGTGTGAACAGATGTGCACATTTTATTGTGCTTTTGAAAGGTATGGAATCAAACTCAGTTGAGTAAATCAGTGGGAATGAAAATAGGCCAAGATTATCTGTTAGAAGTAATGGGTACAGAGAATTGACTACATTAAGATCTGTACAAATCAAGTTAACATATTGTGCTAGGTACTACATTAGTAATACTAATTTTCGAGTCTACATATTTTGAGGGTGTACTGGATTCATTTTCTAATATTTCTGTACATGTCTACAGGCTTAGAGACTGGATCCATTTCCAAACATGTTAGTATTTTCAAAGACAGATAAAGTACTAAATAGATCACAGTTGATCTTTAATATCCAGCTCACCTTACAAATGTATTTGAACAGAACCAGGATTGTTCTTTGGTTTCTAGTACTTTTATTAAAAAAACTAAATATTCCTCAATCTCAGCTTAAAAACTTTTTTCAAGAATCTATGAAAACAAAAGAAATGTATATAAATAAATAAATGTTTTTTCAACTGACAACATTAAACCTTCATAAGAAATATTAGTTACAAGTCAACATGTACAAAACTTTTATCTTTCATTAGTAAAATGAATGAATGTTATACAATGGAACCACACTTTCTTTATCATAAAAGTTTTTATATATATACAGTTCTTCCAATTCCACATCACAGTGAGGTTAAATTAATAAAACTTAGTTTTCTTCAAAAGCCAACAACATAAATTAACACAATTATTCTATGAAATATTTTCACACAATAAGTAAAAAGATCATTGTTACTAATCGCAAACTGATAGAAAATTAACGACTAATAAGAAACATTTCCAGAAAACTCCTACTTCCAAAAAATTCAAATACTGAAGTATACGAACAGTTTTCCTAATCATACAGATATGTCTACACGGAGGTTCTCTGTTTAAAAACACAACATTCTAAACTTCTTTACAGACAAAACAAACACAGGTACAGTTTTCCTGACGCGCTCTCTTGAGATCACTTTGCATGTACAGTGATTACCTGTTAAAAACACAACTTTTTAAACTTCTTTTTTTACAGACAAAGCAAACACAAGTACAATTTTTCTGACACTGTCTTGAGATCACTTTGTATGTACAGTTATTAGCCATGAAAACACAAACTTTATTATCATGAAGAATGATTAAACCAAAGCCACTTCCCGAGCATTATGGAAACAATCTTAAGGAAATTGTGCCTGTACAAAGTAGAATGTTGCCCCTCAATTCTTTATACCAACTCTTATTATCTTTTAGGAACAGGCAAGGCAACAGAAAAAAATTATACCAATGACCTGAAACAGAGAAAATTAAAACATCATTACTTAAATGTTTCTCAAGAACTTTAAGAAAGTCAAAAATAGTTACTGTTAACATAATTGTAAATAAAACTACCATGTTTCTATAAATAACAGAAAGTAACCTTTAAATTCAATAATGTCATAAAATCTGTAGAAAAAACAAACATTAAAAATTATTTCTACATTAATTTTGTAAAAGTCTAGAAATATATTTTGTCTGAAATACTAAATAATTGACAGATGGTCATATCTATAAATATGTAAATACTAAGATGTAACTTAATGTACAATGTACATACAGTTTGAAGTAATAGAAAGAAAAAAAAGCTGACAAAATTGCATACGTTAAAATACAAACTAATATGTTATAATGAAATGATGTTTGTAGTTCAAATCTTTATGACTAAGCTAAACATGTGTTAACTGTTTTTTCAAAATAATGAAACTTTTTAAAATTCAGGTGTATCAATATCTGTATATGCACATGAGAGAAAACAAATATAAAAATCACAGACACAATACAAACATTCAACACTGGGACACAAATCATGAGGTGGGTCATCATTCTACCAGGGCACATTACATGGTGACCCACCTTATGATTCGTGTCCCAGTGTTGGATGTTTGTATTGTGGCTGCAGTTTATTTTTTTGTCTCTCTCATGAATTTACATTTAATTGTATTTCACCAAAGGTATGGATATAATGTGTAAGATTCACACTATCCTTCCGTATGATGTATTCTATTCTATAATTTTTAGCTTTTCTAATTAAATACATTTGTACATCTATTGACAACCCCATTTATCAATTAACGTTTACACTTGGAGCAACCCTGTCTACATATAAAACACTATGTTAAATTAATGAGAATTGTAAATATATTTAGAGTAATATTACCTATACATTAATGATTTATGTACATAAAGTGACAAGTGGTGAATCGAATGATAGATTAGGCTTCATATTTACTTTTAGAATTTTAAACATCTTTGCTGCTTAATGATTCAGAAGAATAAATCAGTCAACTCAAAACAGGTTTGTTATAATAATTGTTTTGAGTGAATTTTTCCCATATAAAAGCCCACATCAACAAAATTAAAAATAAATTTATAAAAACTGTCATAAAGAATGTTAAAAGCTACATTTTGAGTACTTTAACTACTCATGCTACAACTTTTTCTTATCATGCTTGTTGCCATAAGCATTAAAGCTAGCCTTATCCATTACTAGGCAATGAAAGTGTACAACAGAACGATTTGGTACATTTGTTAATTGGTTACTGTATTGTTTTTGGGTTTGTAGATTTGTCTTTAGAATCATTAAAAAAATATCTATGCAGTGCCCACATATGGTCCTATCCAGCTGCCTTGCTTATCTTGTCTTAAGGCCAGCTCCTATTAGCATTACAAATGGGATCCTATACTTTCTAATCTATAGTACTTTCAGAAATATTAATTTATTTTCACACTCCTATGTTTTTAATATACAAGCTGTTTAAAAGAATACAAATATTATATAGGCCTTGTAGAGCAAAACAACTTTCTTGATTATTATAAAGACAAATAACCATAAAACTAACATCAAAATAATAAGGCAAAGTCTAACCTGTACAAAGACAATCCCAATGCCAGTACCTCCAACAATCAGGATTTTGCCTTCCAGAAATCTAGACAAGGCATCAATGCATCCCTAAAAATTCAAAGCCATTGATAAATTCACATAAAATAAGTCATCAAAAACTGTGTTATCTAATGAAGAAAAAAAAGTGATTATTTTTTACATTAAAAAAGCTATAAATTTCTTATACCAACTTTAATCAGTGTTCAAAAAAAAGTTCACAGTGAAATTCATATGCAAGATATCATAAACTATCAAGTTAAAACCTACAACCAAGTTGACAAAGCAACCTTTTAATAATTTTTCCTCTCACATATGATTGTTTTTACCCAAAAATCTGGCAGAACATGAGAAATATCTTACTTATGATCCTGAAAACCTAAATTACTACTAAATAATCATGATCACTGCTTACACTAAAATGTTAATCATAGTAAACTTAAATTTTTTATTGGTTTAAGTAATTTTTCCTGTTAGAAATCAGATAATGATACTAAACAAATCTTACATTATTGCAATATGCAAAGCAAAAAACTGAAAGGAGACAGACAAAAAATAGATAAATCCTTCCCAAGACAATGTGGTCATTCACCAATATTTAATTATACATTTTAATGTTAAGTAACAATGAATTTTGGAAAAATTAAATCCATACACAATAATTACACTAACTAAGAAAAATATTAGTAATAATTTTAACAATTAACCTGCAACATTGACAAACTTACAGTTCTGTAATGATTATCAGACAGATTACATGTTTTAGTGGGGTTCTTTCCTGCACAGCAACTATAAGGTAGCTTGCCATCATCCAAATACTGTCCCCATTCTGTTACATTATTAGCTCCACAACATTGTTGCTTTCAGCTGTAGACATATTTACTGAATAAACCAGTTTTATTTTATTATATATGTGTGTGTGTATATATATATATATATATACATATAAAGACACATACACTTTAAAAGATGTCAAATCCGCAGTGTAAACTGCTGAAATGTAAATAGCACTTAAAACTTCTTTGAGTAAATGTCATTCTTTTACATTTAATAAATCTAATCATTTCAGCAGTATCAGAATTCAAGAGGGCCTGGAAATCCTTGAATAATTATCAAAATTTGGATTGTCAATTCCAGACCTACAAATAATCACGAAAATTGTGAAAGAATTTTTAAAAGTTTTGAAATTTAGACAATGAACTGACCCAAAAATTTTAATGAAGTTTAAAAATAAGTAAACAGTTTGAAAACATTGTTTATCAATCAAACAGACTATTGTGCCATGTGCGCACAGTGCACATTATCATCAGACATGCTGACTGGCCCAAGAACATGATCACCATATTTTAACCAATCTGTTGATACTGTGATTTAACCAGGTAAGAAGCTGTTCTTTTATGTTTTAAATATATTATGAAGCACTGTAACTTTGGCTATAAGTTAATAAAATTAGTCATATTTGCATTAAGAGGTTACAATTTTGCATAATATATTATACTCTATAGACCTTCAAGGTACACATGCATAGGTTAGATCTTCAATCATTCCTACGAATAAGACACCAACGTTAAAATCTAACATGTCTAGTGTTAGTACCTAGGCCTAATGTGGTAACTAGATTTAGATCTAGTCTCAAGATCTGGATTCACATTATAACATCATAAAAATTGTTAAATCGACACAACTATAGGCACCTAATTAAGTCTGCACAGGTAGATATAGGCCCGATATTTAGTGCTATGGGCCTAATCGGTTAACATCAGGCCTAATGGTTTGTGCATGATATAAGAAGCAGATTGAGTTATATGTGTAACAGTTGGATCTAATAGATCTAGATATATATATATATATAATGTTAAATCTAGTTTTCCAAAAATTAAACAGAAAATGTATTCGTTACTAGACCTAGAGATCTCTTAGTGCCATTCATTTTCAATGAAATCACCAAATTTTCCTTTAGGTTATCTTGTGTCTATTAGCATATGTTCTAAATAGCAAATGTGAAGAAATTTTACTTGATCTTGAATTCTTCACTCAGTTGTATTTGCAGGAATCAGATACAGATCTAATAATAAACTGTACCTTTTCCATTAAATCTTCATCTATTGCTGCTTGCACATCCATATCAGCATTTGTTAGCCCTAAGTCTGGGTTTAACTTGTGTTGACATTACCTCTCATTATACTTCTGTATGCTCGTGCCAGCTATGAAAGAAAGTGATAAATCTGCATCCAACATTTGTTAAAGTAATATAATATGTGATAACTCACACCAATAAATATTTCATTTAATCTTTTATTAGGTCTACAGCATAACTAAAATTGTCCATAATTTATGAGATGTCAGGTTTTTGTGCTTCAGAGCATGTGCAGCACATACATCATGTTACATACATAGTAACTGTACAAATTCTACATGCCTATGTTTGCATTTCTGCATTGAGACCAGTGATTGGCAAAAAGAAATTCCTAAATAATGCAAAACCTAACAATGTATTGGACATCCAATATTGCCAAACTAAATGTAGGCTATCATGTAGACGTCAGTCTTCTAAAGGCAATTTTATTCATTCATGTTAGACCTAGATCTATTTGCTTGTAGCAAGTAATTCTCTATGAATCCTGCCAAAACAGGCTTCACCTATCAAAACAATAATAGCAAAGTTATAATGATGCATGCTAATACATGTATCTATACTTATAAAAGTAAAAAAATTGTTTGTTTGTCCGTGAACTATTCCATGGTCTTTGGACCAATCTCAACCAAACTTGATATGGTGATAAACTGGACCAAGGAGATATCATAAGATGGTTATTACCCAACCACACCTACCCTGGATCAAGCTCACAGCAAAAATATGTTTGTTTAGCTAATGACTCCACAGTATTGGACCAATTTTTATTTTGAGATTTTTCTTCAAAAGTTTTTTTCTAGTTTTTTCAGGAAAAATCTGAGTTCTTCCTTAAAATATGTCAAACATTCACATACTTTCTAGGAAAAATGGCAACAAAAACACAAGGTTAAACCCTTAAAGTGACAGGACTACATCTGAAAACCTCTTCCTTTTCACATGATCAATTCTGTATTGGATGTTCAAGAGTAGGATCACCAAGAAATCTCCTTATTTTGGCCCAGGAGGAAGGAAGAACTTCTAATGTTGTGTATCAAGAATCGCTGAGAGAGTGAACAAACACTGAGAAGGATTAGTAAAAGTAACAAAGTAAAGTAACTGTCACACCATTTCTGTAATGTGGAATAAGATAGGTGTGAAATAAAGTAGTTGTGAAGTAAATTATGCATATAAATACAAATTCTTGATTTAATTTATTAGTTGAAGCCCTACATTCAATCTTTACGCCCTTGGAAAAAGGACAGGTGCCTTAGCTTGTGTTATAATAAAAATAATGATTCTTAATGAATAAATAACAGTACTTAATCTCAATATAAATCTTATGATAAATATGAAGTAGTAAATTCTACCAAATCTAAAATATTAAAAGGCATTAGATAATAATTCAATACATTTGAATATTGTATATAATGTTAAAAGACCAACACAAAATAAACAAATGTACATTGTTCGTATTGTGAATTTAATTTTCATATCCATCCCCCTGCAAGTTTGTGAAATGCCAAGCAAGTGTAGTTTTAAAACAAGCTGGTTTTCAAATTAAACTACCAGAAGTGGTTAGAAAGAGATTCACACCCTAGAAAAGCAAGATCTAAACCTTGCCAAAGTTCATTTGACATCAGCAACACGGGAGAAGCAGCTTTGTGCAATCACATGACAAACAAGAAACATGTAGAAAACATAAAGATATTGAAGGCAATATCATGCAATAACACTATTATGTGCCCCTTCTTCAAACTGCCCATCCCTCAAAAAAACCTGTATCAAACATAATCCAAATGACATATGTACAAAACTAGCAAGCTAATGAAGTGTTTTCACATACGAGTTCACTAATTTATATACTAAAATAGCTTTGCAAGACCTAATAAAGTCTTTAATTTTTTGAAATTGATAAATTTCTCAATGGTGATAGTTATTTCTAAATACAGTTTCATTACAAATCAATGTAAAACATTTATTCAACTTCTGCACTTATAATAAATGTAGTCTTTAATAAACAAACATTTAACAGATAACTGGTATTCCTATGGGGACAACTTTTCTTTGAATGTAGTTCATTTCTATCTACATCTCAATGGGAATACCTGTTTGAAACAGTTAACAATACCCAGTCCATATGCCATTACATTTTGTTATGGTGATGATTTAATTTCTATTAATAATTTAGATTTTACTCCATCTAAAATCTATCACACAGAACTTAAATTAAAATAAAGTAATAATACTATATAAAAATAGGAATGAAATAATACTAATTACATTCACATTATTTGCACTTGGATGTTATTTTTCTACAAGGAAGAATACTATTTTTGATAAAACACAATAATTTAATTTTTCTATCTTTGTTTACCTTCCCCTAATAGTGTGAATCCCTATAATCTGTTAAAATGAAAAATATCTTTTTATTTTGAAAGTGATAAATCTGCATCTAACATTTGTTGAAGTAATATAATGTTAAAACTCACACCAATAAATGTTTCATTTAATCTTTTATTAGGTCTACAGTAGTTAGTGTTTTTAATGATAGTATTTTATCAACATTATTGAAAACCTGGGAAATTGTTTAAGTCTAAACTCTTTCATAATAAATATTACAAACTGTTAATAGTAAATCCCCGAGATGATACTTATAGTTCATATTCACTTAAATATTATAAATATTAGTTTTAAATGCAAATTTTAATCATCTGGTTTGTGATGTATTCAGTATACTGGTTCTGGAAAAGATAACTTTCACAGAAGAGTTTATCTCAGCTAGTCCAACTTGTAATTGATTTTTTGCTAAAGGTAGAGGATGGATGCTCAACTGTTTCTGAACTATTAAGGTAGGGTTTTATAGTTATTGTTATTTTGTAATAATAATCTGTGGGTGGTGATTGGGTGTTTTACCAATGTGACAGACAAAGCTTTGACATTATTCAAGGGTTTTTGGTTACAGGTTTATCTTCAAACAAATCATGCACATATTTATTGAATAAATTTCATTTCTGGTACAGAATTACTTTCTAATTTGTAAATCTTGACCAAGTATCTAATGACAAGATTTCATGTTTGTAAGAATAAAGTATTAGAATTAAGACAAGCTTCTTAAGTCCAATTCTCCTCCAATTGTCCTTTTCAATATTTTATAAAACTTGCCAATAATATGCCTAATATGCACAACTAAGTAAACTATGCTATATTTATATTCAAAGTAAAATTTTATGAAAAACTGTAAATTGCCCATTGCATGAAACCTACAGTGCTAAAATAAATAAAAATGTATCATGATGAAGTACCTTCTAACACTTATAGTACAACAATAATGCATACATATTCATCTGCTTTCTTACTTCCTTAAAGTTATGTCTAATTAGATATAAACTGAAATAAGAAATAATAATACTGAATTATGCCCACATCCTATGTCTATCTAAACTCTGGAAACAATTTTAAACTTAAAACTGCAGATATCATTTCCAATTATTACTGTTTTCAGTTATTCAAAACTCCAATTATATTGAATTTCACAAAAATAATCAACTAATCAAAATTAGTGTTTCTGATTATTACTGTTTTTGGTTCGTCCAACAGTTGATTAATATAACATAACGTTTTGGGACAACATGGGACCTATTGATCCATCTCGGCTGTTCTATCCTCTGAACTAAATTAATTTTTTTTTAAATATTAAAGTCAGCCCTTATCATTCATATACTTATCAAGAATTTTCTTAAACTCACTTAAACTTACTGTCTCTACAACATCCAAAGGCCAACCACCCTATTAGAAAAATGAACTTGTCTTAGCTGAAGATGACTCCTACCCTGCCAAAATTTATATTTGTGTCCCCTAGTCCTACTGTTCTCACTGTTAAATATGAAAAAAGATGATGTATCAACACTATCAATTCCCTTTACAGTCTTAAACACCTCAATAAGATCCCCTCTAACTCTTCTTTTCTCAAGAGAAAACAGTTTCAGATATTTCAGCCTCTCCTCATATGACAACCCCTCCATCCCAGGCAACATTCTAGTGACCCTTCTCTGAACCCTTTCCAACAATTC